TCACGTGGCACGTGCCGCCACAATACCGCACCGCGGAAAGGGATGACGGTCACTCGCCGTTCTTCCGTGGAACAGTGCACGGCGAGTTGCTCTTCGCACCGGAGCCCACCGACAACTCGACGCTAGAGCCGCCCGAGAGTCTCGTACTGCTCGCCGATGCCGACAACAACAACAACAATGACAGCAGCAGCGGGGACGCGGCACTCGCAGCAGCCCTCGAGCCGCCGCGCCGCCTCTCGGTCGCGTGGGATCTCTTCGCCGCGCTCCCCGGCACAGTGTTGTGGCAGTTCCCCGGCAAGATCATCGGCGACGTCTGCACGCTTACGATTCCCGTCCTGCTGCGCATGTATGTCGCCTACCTCACGGACGAATCACCGAGCTGGAGCGCCGGCCTCGTTCTCGTTCTCGCTCTGTTTCTTGTGCAGGCCACTCAGAGTGCCGCACTTCACATGTACTACTACGTGAGCATCAATGGTGGTATATGTTGCCGAAGTGCCCTTTCAGCCGCTATATTTGAGAAGTGTTTTACCATTTCTGCTAAATCACTCGCTCTGCCGGATATGAGCACAGGACGTATCATCAACATGCTGAGCACTGATGTGGAAAAGGCCAATGACTTTTTGCAGTACTGTATGTACCTCTGGAGCTCTCCAACTGTCTTTGTTGTTTCCATCGTGCTGCTATACCAACTTGTGGGTTGGTGCGCATTGATCGCGGTCGCCGCCATCAGCGCAACGCTGCCACTCAACGCATACGTCATGCGCCGGATGATGTTGGTGCGGCGGCAACTCGCGAAGGTCACCGACGCCCGCGTGAAGGCGACAAATGAGTTCTTCTCCGGCATCCGCATTGCGAAATTTATGACGTGGGAGCCGTCCTTCATTGCCCAGATTGAGGCGAAGCGGGACATTGAGTTGCATTACCTCAAGGAGGTGCAACTGTGCCGTGTTCTCGTTTCTTTCTTCAACAACGCCACCCCACCTCTTATGATTGCCATTGTCTTTGTGTTGTACCACTTGCTTGGGCACGAGCTCACGCCGGAGGTAGTGTTTCCAACGATATCGCTTCTGGCCATCATCCGCATGCCCTTCATGATGATACCGAACGTGGTCAACATGGGGGCGCAGTTCGTCGTCTCTATGGCGCGCATCTCCGCCTTTCTCGAGTGCGAAAACTCCACGCAAGGTGTCGACGATATCCGCGCCTACGTTACCGCCCACCGCAAGAGCACCGCGTCGTGGTGCGAGACCGCCGCCGTTTTTGAGAACGTCAACATCACGGCACTCGTACCGGTTAAGCTGCCGCGCGCCCCGAAGTTCGTTCTGTCTTTGACTGCAAGGTTCCTGCGTCGCTTTTGCTGCTGCCCCATGTGCCGCCCACAGGAGAGATTGCCGTCGCCAACTGAGGTGCTGCAGCAGCACGAGGACGCAGAGGAGGAGGAGGCTGCGTCCCCTCAGAGCCCAACCTCGGCGGCGGCGACGAAGAAAAAGGTGAAGGCATTACCGGAGGACCGCTTCCAGCTGCGGCCAAAGGAATTACTAAAAGGGGTTTCCCTCAAGGTGCCGAAGGGGAAGCTCACTGTCATACTCGGTCCAACGGGCAGCGGCAAGTCGACACTGCTGCGGACGCTGCTGGGCGAGTACGAGGTGACGCACGGTCACGTGTGGGCCACCCGCAACGTGGCGTACGTACCGCAGCAGCCGTGGATCATGAATGCAACGCTGCGCGACAATGTGCTCTTCTTCGCCGCGGAGGACCCGAAGCGGCTGAGCGAGGTGGTGCGCGTGTGCCAGCTGGAGGCAGACCTGCAGCTGCTGGCAAGCGGGATGCAGACAGAGATTGGCGAGAAGGGCATCAACCTGAGCGGCGGGCAGAAGGCACGCGTGAGCCTCGCCCGTGCGGTGTACGCCGACCGCGAGTTGTACCTGTTGGACGACCCGCTCTCCGCGCTGGACGCCCACGTCGGCGAGCGCGTCGTGGCGGACGTGCTGCTCGGCGTCCTCGCACGCAAGACACGCGTGCTGGCGACACACCAGCTGCACGTGCTGTCGCGTGCCGACCACATCGTTGTGATGCGTAACGGGCGTGTTGTCTTCACCGGTAGCTATCAAATGTACCTGGCCTCCTCTGTGCACAATATCGTCCAGGAGGAGTTGACGAACGAGGCGCTGGCTCATGCCGGGGATGGGGCTGCTGATGATGATGATGGTGACGATGACGCTCATCGTGATAAGAACGACGCTGATGCGCTGGCGAAAGACGATGAGGATAACGCAGCCGTAGATGAGCACAGCCACAATGTGAGCCATGAGAAGGCTGACAGCGCGGGTCAGCTCATGACGTCGGAGGAGAAGGCGATTGGAAGAATTCCGTGGTCGACGTACATGAAGTATTTCGCCGCCTGTGGGGGCCGCAGCGTCGTGGCGGCGATTCTCGCCGTGTACCTTGTGTCGGAAGTCGTCAACCTCTCGACCAGCGTGTGGCTCTCGGTGTGGTCGACAGGGCTGCTGCAGCTGCAGCCGAATCAGTACCTCTACGTGTACCTCGCCTTCGTCTTCTTGGCCGTTTTTTCGGCGCCGCTGCGCAGCTTCGCGTGCTACACGGTGATGCGCATTGGAGGACGCAACCTTCACCGCGGCCTCCTGCGCGCTGCGGCGATCGGCAGTATGCAGTTCTTCGACACGACCCCGCTCGGCCGACTGCTCAACCGATTTACGCGCGACGTCTCGTCGGTCGACGAGGTGCTCAACGAGGACATCGCCGCGCTGCTGGAGCAAGTCTTCGCGATGATATCCACCGTGGCGCTCGTGACGATTGCGCAGCCGTTTGTGATGCTGGCGATTGTGCCGAGCACGTACGTGTACTACAGGCTGCTGTTGGTGTACACGGCAGTCAACAGAGAGGTGCGGCGCGTGTCGAGCATCGCGCAGTCGCCGCTCTTCTCACTTCTGGATGAGTCCCTCAGCGGGAGGTGCACCATTGCGGCGTACAGGAAGTCGCACATCATCATGCGGGAGGCCCTGCACAGACTGGACGTAGTTTACAGCTCGCGGTATATGCAGAATATCGTTAACCGCTGGCTGGGGACACGTCTCGAATTTGTGAGCTGTATTATCATCGCCACCGTTGCTCTTCTCGGTGTTGTTGGCAAGCACATGAATTTCAGCACACACAGCATTGGTCTCGTCTCGCTCAGCCTAACCATGGCACTGACGCTGACGGAGACCATCAATTGGCTCGTGCGACAAGTAGCCTCCGTGGAAGCCAATATGAACAGTGTTGAGCGCATCCTTGAGTATACAGAGGATATTGAGCAGGAGGACATGCCTGAGATCTCGGCGCTTGTGGACGAGCTAGAGAGCAA